AAATGAATTAACATGAAATTTTATGTAATATTAATTACAAATATTATAATTAATAAAATTTAATTTACATTTTTAAAATATAAATTAAATAAACTCATAATTAATTATATCTACTTTTCAATAAAAAAATTTCAAAAAATACTTTTCATAGAAAGTAACAATATAATGCATTATTTTTTTATAATTAATTATTTACAACTCAATTTTTAAATTTGAAAATTTATTTTCCTAAATAAAGTGGAATTGTATTTTGGTCGATTGTGCTAATTTCCTTTTCGAGTAAGATGATGACCAAACAGGCCGAAGACTGAAGTCGTGTAAAACTAACACTTCGTCTTCTTTATGGGACTTAGATATTTGCTATTTTCATTAAAAAAAGACGGCAAAAACCCTCCGTCTGCCCTTCAACTTTTTGAATTTGAGGCATTTTACCCCTCATATTACAATATATGATTTTTTACCCTTTATGATTTCGGGTTTAGGAAAATAAAGCAAAATTTAATGTTGGAGATCACGTGCATCGTTAATCTCCGTTATATATTCATATGGCAGTGCCAACTCAGATTTTTTTACATGTTGGCAAGTCAAACTTGAACTTTATGATAATGACATGGAAAAAAATAATAATATTATAAAAAAATTCTCTCTCTTTTTTTTTTTTTTTCTTCTCTTCCCCTTTCTCTCTCCCATTGAAACCCTTATTTTTTTTTTCCTTCTCTTTTCCTTTCTCTCTCCCCTTGGAACCCAACAGAATTCATCAACAAACAGAAGGGAAACAAAAGGACCTTCAATGGAACCCACACCTGGGTTCCTTCGAACCCCGACGGGGGTTCCATGGAACCTAGCGCCTGGGTTGCCTGGAACCTAGGCGCTGGGGTTCCATGGAATCCAATGGCAAAAAATTAATTTTTTTTTTTTCTATGGGTTTTGTTATTTGATGATGATGATGAAGAAGAACACAACAAGGGTAAAAATTGATTGAGATGAATAAATTGGTTGAGTTGTTAGAGATTTGCAAAAGTTGAGGGTTCCATCAAACCCAACATGCCTAGGTTTGTTGGAACCCAAGTGTGGGTTCTATGGAACCCAGTGACAAAATTAAAAAAAAAAAATTCCTTTTTTTTTTTGTGGATTTTGTTGTTTGATGATGATGAAGAACCCAACAGGTAGAGATTGGTTGAGGTGAATAGATTGGTTGAGGTGAATAGATTGGTTGAGATGTTAGAAATTTGCAGAAGTTGAGGGTTCCATGAACCCATGCCTGGGTTCTTTGGAACCCATGCCTGGGTTCTTTGAACTCATGGTTGATTGGGTGAATAGATTGGATGAGATGTCAGAGATTTGCAAAAATTGAAGAAAAGGAGGAGGAAATTGAGGAACGAAAAAAAAAAAAAAAATTTTGGTCGAGTAGAATTCCAACTCACAAAGGTGCAAGTCGAACTTGCCAACATGTCAACAAAGTTTGAGTTGGCATTGACACGTGAATATATGACGGAGATTAATGATTCATGTCCTATACGTGATCTTTGGACATTAAATTTTGCTTTATTTTCCTAAACTCAAAAATATAGAGGGTAAAAAATCATATATTATAATATGAGGGGTAAAATACCTCAAATTCAAAAAGTTGAAGGGTAAACGGAGGGTTTTTGCTCAAAAATGACAAACGTGTATAGTACCTGATTATGAGAGATCATCAACAGCAGGCCCTGAGCAGAGACAAATAATAGAGTAGGGTACAGGCCTTTCACAGAGATAGTACGTGGGTCAGATAAATGCAGAGCTGAGGAAAGGTCATTAGCGACGTTCTTCCCAACGTACATCGGAGAAACAGCAATCTCCCAACCTAAATTCATGTAGCATTTATCTGTTTGTCTATTGGTGATCACTCAGTTTAATTGGATTGTTAATGAATTACATTTTTTATTAGTGGTTGAGTTTTACTA